GCAGAAGGAGGTTTTGAGTCATGTTTTAAATGGACTGGTCGGTGCTGTCTCTTATTTGTTTGGGAAGAGAATTCCAGACCGAGAGACCAGCGATGCTGATGATGCCTCCGGTCTTTGTGCTTCTTAATTAACTCAGATAGATTTAAGCTTGTGTCCTAGCTCCTCATTAAATCTATGTAAATAAAACATTCAGGCACAAAGATCACTACATCCTCATTTTCCACAGCACAGTTATTCATTTGAGCCCCAAGTTAACTCCTTACAGTACATACTAGTAGAATAGATTACTCAGATAATTTTTCTTTAAATTAATTTACTATATTATACTATATTCTGAAGATTGTGTTCATGTATATTCTTCAACTACAATCCATTTTCTATGATATTTTTTAATCCATCTCTGCAGCTCTCCCACTTCTTCTTCTATCTTTCCTTTTCTTTGCACTATTTTTGCTCAGCATTGGTTCTTCAGTTCATCTTTCTAGTATCTCTTCTCCTTCCAAGCCCCCCCCAACCCCCACCCCACCCTGTCATTTGCTTAATTAAGGAGCACACGAGCATCTGTTAGCCTGCAGCTTGCCTCTGTGGTGCCTTTGTGGCGAGACGCACACCTCACACAACGCAGCTAATTGCGATTGTGCTATTTGACATCGGCTTGTTGTATTCATATACAAAGTAGACAGTGCACAGCAAAGGTGAGGATTTGTTTCAAAGTTGTCGGAGGATTTTATAAAAATTGTTTGATTAAATTGGTTTGGTGATGTCAGTAGACCTGGGTTTGTAGAAGAAATCTTTCACTCAAATCAGTTGTTTTTTTTGAAACCTTTTTATAAAATGAAAACAGATGGAGTCGCAAGAAAGAAATTCACATTTCATCTGCAAAATCCATCTGCTTTTCAAAATCAAATTGGACAATGGTTGCTTAATTTGCACACATCCTTGAGCGGCTGAAACACAGTGAAACAAGCTGAGATGTTTCCCATTTCCTAAAGTTGTTGTTTCCCATTTCCTAAATTTAACAATTTAATGTCTTCAAATTTACGTATCCCAAAAAATATAGACGACAGATGTTATTTTCCACTATGTTTTATTATTGCTCATAAATGTTCTAGATTTGTAACGTGTGTTGTTCATCTTTTCTTTGTTTTGTTTGGTGTAGATCGGCTCCCGGTGGAAAGATGTTGTCACCAAATGTATCAAAGGCCACTTCCAGCCTCTCCTCCTCTTTTACTCCAACCCTGACGGGAGTGCTATCACCGCAGATGACGTCTCAAGACAAAACACCAGCCAGTCACAAGGACAAGGTATGATATAACTTCCCATCAGGGTCTTCACTGAATCAGTTTTTGTTCTATTTTGGTTCATGGTAAAAAATCCTCATCAGTCATATTTGCTGTGCCCCTGAATAAGTTCTGTTAGCTAAACAGCTTTACTACATTGGGTAAGATGGAGAGTTGATTTAGTGTCTTTTTCTGGAAATAACAACATCAAATTCCTTTGAGATGCATTTATCAGGCTTATTAGCGCTGTTAAGCTTTATGGGTTGTTTTGTTGCATTTGTGAAACAATAATCCCATCCCGAGTGACCCATTTAATGATAATTTTATATCATAAAACACCCATTAATATGATGCTGAGGTGTGCAGCTACCTCTTTGTTTCGTCTTTATAGAGGTAAAAACCAGTGCAGGATATGGAGGGAATAAAAGAAAAACTGTGAAGTAAATTTTGGCATTATAGGCTGGTTGAACGTAACAGCAGCCAGAATGTTTCTGGTGTTAAAATCACAGTGGTCTGCCTCGTAATCGAAATTCAGAGTCTGGAGATTGAGTTGAATGTTTGGTTGGTGAGTCAAAGTGTGATTTTCCTCTATATACCCAGCTGGAGTTAAGAGTTTTATTAAGACCAAATGACTAGAATTAAAACCATTGTTGGTTAATTTAAGCAGAACTCCTCTAGCAAACATGTAATTAACTATAAGTAAAATATCCCTTTATTTACAAGTCATTTTTTAATAGAAATGCCATTCAGAAACAAAAACAACCATTTACAGGACGTGTATAATCCCAGATCATATTAGTCGTGTTTGCAGGCAGTAATGAAAATTTGTTGATGACAACATCTCCTCTGGTTGGACTATATATCCCTGGATTTGTTTGGTTGGGGAGGTTTTCATCCTCTTTAAAGATCCTCCTTCAACTCTCCATGCTGGCCGAGCCCCAGGTCCAAGCTGTGGCCGCCGCTCACTGCCCATCAGAGCTGACAGGGCGCCGGACCAAACTAGATGATCCTGCAAAAACCAAGAAAAACACTATGTGGATTTTTGTAATTTCATTTCTGTTTCTTGGTCTCATGTCTGTATATTTGTTTGGTTTGGTTGAAAAAAAAAAAAAATCCTATATATTTCCTTTTTTCCCTCACAGGCTTTGATTCTCCAGTGTCAGCCCCCAAGAAACTGGACCTCACCAGGGAGAATCTGAACGCTCTGCTGGGCCAAGGCTCTTTCAAACAGAAAACCCCCTCGACCCTCAGCAGGGGCAGCGCTCAGACCAACGGAGGACGGGGACCAGGTAAGGGATAAATGGTGGAAACGATGAAAGTGGTAGAGAGAGATTTAAACCAAACATGTGGAGGAACACACATCACAAGTTTCCATTTTAACATTTCATTTAATTAAGTCTTGTGGACTGGAAAAATCTGTTGTGCTCAAGGTTTTGTTTTCCACTGCAGGATAAGGAAGGAATTACCAGCCTAAATAAAACTATGGTTAAACAAACAGAATTTCCTTGTGCAAATGTCTTGCAGTGATAAAGAAAAACTACAGAGAGATAAGTCACCTTTTGTACTGGTTGCAGTTTTGGCCTTGAAAGACGGCTTCATTTATAAATGTTTCTGTCCACAGAGAGCGGTGACAAGCACAGATCTGGTACAGCAACCAGATGAGGACAGAGGAAGAGATGATTAAATGTCTCTGCTGTCAAACTAAATCTAACTATGCTAGTAACACAGAGGGGATTAGGGACTCTTGTTGAGGAGAGAGGTCACAAAGAGCTGCCTGCTCACCACATGTTTAAGCACGAGTGGAGGAAGAGTGTAAATTGAGGAGCTGAGGTTTTGTTAAGATAAGGAAGTGACCAGAAAATGAAACAAAGCAGGTGAAATTGAATCTCCTGTCATATTATTGCACGTTTCATTGTCATGTGGCTGCATAAAGCTGTGAAGGTCTTTTGGATCTTCGTCGTTGTTTCCCTTCACTTGAGCTGTTTTACAGTCTTTTAAGTATGAAGAACAGCAGGAGATCGACCGGGTCAGGCGCGCTCACAGTAACTGGAACATTCCCAGAACATTCAGGCCCGGGGTGGTGACCGGGAAAAACATACAGGAGGCAAAACATGACATATTAATTCTGCTGTGGAAAGCACAGTTTTTTTTTTACAGCACATCAAAACCGGTGTCGGCTTTTATCTGCAAAAGTGCAGTTGTGTTTCCAAGTTGATGCCTTTGTCTGTGTTTTCTTCGTGTATGTTTTTTCTGCTGTATTCTCACATTTTCCAGACCTTTTACAAGGGGACTGGCAGGAAAAGTTACGTCAAATATCTGGAGCAACTGACTTGGACATTTTCATTCTCACATACAGCCCCGCCTGAAATATCAGAAAAATACCCAGACTTCAGTGCATGAGTTAAAACAGCTCTGGGAACTTGTTTGCTAATCTGTGGTGTGGGGATGGAGTGTGTAATAAAAGTAAGAAACTGAAGTCAAGTTAAAAGTGAAATTATTAAGTCCTGATTCATCATTTTGAAAACAAATATTCTCTATTTTAGTGCCGGAGTGAATATGGAGCTACAAAAACAGTTTCAAAGAGAGCTGTTTTTTTTCTAAACACATCAGCCTGTGCCCACAGAGTGTTGAAATTTCAGACAGCTAACAGAACCCCAGTATGATCATGTTTTCCAGGGCCGTGACTAATCATTGCGTTTCAAAGTGAATGTCTGCCAGAGACCGAGGAGATGAACTCTCTGCCGGGCCACATTTCCACCCTTTTGCCTTTCCCTTCATGGAGCACAAAATGTACTGTGTACATCAGCACAATAGCCTCCGTCTACACACTCAGCAACTGCTCAGTGCCTTGGGGGGGGCTTGGGACTCAGAGGTGGAAAACAGTGACAAGGAAAAGGATGTGGTGACAATACACATCTATATGCTCACAGAGATAAAAATACTTTTAATGGTGTTTGCAGTGGTGGAAATCCCCACCTGATTCAGCAGAAGTTGCATTAATAACACACTGGCTGCATACCTCTCGTCCCCTATTGGGGGAACTGTGCCAGATTCCTGATGGTAAAACCTGACGTTTGTTTGTTTTGTAGTGAAAATTGGTGCCAGTGATCCCAAGAGCCGCCTCAGGGACATTTCTCGAGAAGTTGCCCAGAGAGCAGGAGAGGTGCGGGGGATGCATCCATCCAGACGAGAGCCTGACAGGAGCGGTCAACGGAGGCTGGAGACGCGCCACAGAGGTAGGTTGCAGACACACCGTACAGTATGTGCATTGATAAAAGCAGACCACACATTGCAACACAAACGCACGAGAACCTCAAGGGTTTGTGATACAAAAGGCTAGCCCCTCCACTTCCCCATCCCTTACGTAACCCTCGGTTCAGGAGCAATGTGTCAGAAAGGGGATTAAGTGCTGACGTCTGTCGGAGCCTGCCTTGATCCCACTCTCTCATATTCAGAGCCATTGGTTCCCCTTGTTGTGTTGTGCATGACCATGTACAACCTATGCACACAAACTAAACAGGTCAAACCAAGTGGTGATAAATACTCTTTAATTTTGTCAAAGGATGCATTTAACTCGACAAAGTCATATTTGTGCCAATGTTTTTCTTACGTCTCCTCCCCCTTGTTCTTCCCAAATTGAGTTAGTGTGTCTGTTCTAATCAGTGATTGGTCAGCTCTTTTAAGACTCTAGTACATCAGTACTTTCAATTAAGTATCAGTGAGGGGGATTATTGGACACAATTGTAACACACTCCCAAATCCGCCATGTCAACAGCAGTAGCCTTGGTTAGCACCGAGCTCACAGCACATTATGATTGAATGCAGGGAGACTAAGGGAGGCGAGCGTCATTGCAGTGATGAATGGCGAGGAGGGAGGTGACACGACAGTTTATGTAAACGACCACAGCGTGGATCATGCCCAGATAGCACTTTTCTAAAAAGGACGAAAACAAAAAAAGCTGAAGCAACTTTTCTGCCTATAATGGACTGTGGGACAACCCCAGGAATTTCTAAATGATCTCTGACTGTAATCGATTCAGACGTGATACCATTCTTCCAAAAAAAAAAGATCCACAGCCTTGTGTCGAGTTGACGACACCGAGCTGGCAGAAAACACGCTGGTGTCTTATACACAGGCAAAAACACAGACAGCGATGTTTGTTGTGATTTAACTCTGGCACACGGTCAGCAGAATCCAAAGCAACAGCAACGTTTGGGCTTAAGTCCAAAGCACTGACAGTTTAGTGTAGCACTAAATTTAGTTTTTTGTTTTCACCTGAAAACACGTTACCATAGATTGCTTTTCCTGGTGAATTAGATGATGCCTCCAGGACAAAGGACACAGCCTCCGCTGTGTCAGCTAAAGACTATCATGTTTTAAGGATGAACTCTGTACATTAGATGATGCCTTGTCTTAAGTTTTGCTAACATGCAGGAAAAACCTATTTTGATTATCTTGACATGATTTTTACATGTTCTCTTTGCTGGAGAATTTAATAAACATTGGATTGTGGGAGCACCTATAGCTGTGCAAGGGAACCAGTTTTCAGGAAGGATGTGCGGCCGTTTATTTTGAGAGTCGCTCGCACAGTCCTTGGAATAGCAAACGCACATCCCTACCTCACCATCATGTTCAGACTTGTCCAACAGGGAAACTAATCCAAGTATGCACACAAATACACACACACACACACACACACACACACACACACACACACACACACACACCAAAGTGCAATCTTTCTGCAAATGATACCTGCATGGTATCCTCCACAGAGGCTGGTCACCCTCTTACTGCACAGCACACAAGAAAACCGACCCCACATTGGTCGTAATTTACACCTCCCTGTCATCTGCAGACGTCACCTGTAACCCTGTAGTTGTTGTGCCCTCGCGCTCCACCCGACATGCTCTATTCTTTTACGACAGATTTCTGTCTCGGTGTCGTAGCGTTTTGACTTTCAGCGAAAGTCAATTTTTGGTGTCGGCCACGTTATTAATGATGCTGTCCTTTTGCATCAGGTGCGTCAGGAAAGACATAAAGGTCAGGTAACATGCAGCGAAAAATCTGCTTTAGTCCTGGAGAAAAAAGGCTTTTTCAACTGCAGCCTGAATTTGTCTATGGGGTTTGGTTAATTCACTTGTTTACAAATTTGATTCATAAATGTTTGTATAATTGATAAAAATAAAGGCTTGTTGAGGGTGAAAATATTTGATTAGTATAACTGGTTATTTATTATTATGTTGGTTAATTGGAAAAATGTTTTATCATAATGTATTTTCCATTTTTGAAAGTATTCTTCAATCTAAGTTTTTGGAGTATCTTTATAAAATGTCCTTTGCCATTCAATTTCTCATCGTTCAACCCATTCAAGCTTTATCTCACTTGTCCTCAGATCCAGGCCAGGACAGGACCTACTCCCGCTCCGTCTCCCCTCCAGAGAATGGCTTCAAACAGCACCTGGAGACTCGCCTGTACAGCAGCCAAGGAAAAGGTCCCACACGGACTGAGCGAACACCCCACTTAGGTGGACGATCTTCCCACGAACCCTCTCGCTCTCACTCCAGAGTCCAAGTGCTACCCAGTGTGCCCAGTATCAGCAGTGGCCATCATAGCCGGAGGATTGACCAGGTCTCCAACGGATATGATACAGACAGCAGCCAAGAGTCCAGAGAGCGTCCTGGAAGTGGAGCCAACAGTCGCAGCAGGTCTAGTCGCCCGTGGAAACCCATGCGAGAGGCGCTAAATGTGGACAGTGTTTTAAGTTCTGCCGGTGATGGAAATTCGCCAAGTCAAGAGCGAAGGCAGCACAGCCCACGGAGGAGACCCAGCAGTCAGTCGCCCTCCCGCGACCGCGAGCGAGACAGAGATTTTACATGGGGGGGCAGGGAGGAACGCAAACCCAAGAGCCTGATGACCATCTACGAGGATGAGCAGAGGCATGAAACCGGTGGCAGCCGAAGCTCGCTGGACTCAGATGGCCGGGGCGGCTACAGTGACAAGGACAGGTCAAAGGGCTCAGCAACTTTGAAAGTGCGGAACGACAACTGGAAGATCCAGCGAACAGAATCCGGATACGAGAGCAGCGACAGACTAAGCAACGGCTCAGCAAATCTCGACTCACCTGTGGTGGAGTACTTTTCCTCCAAGGACCTGCGGCCTATACCTGAGCTGCATCTGACGAGGTAAAATAGACTGTTGCATCCAACGACAAAAACAATCTTACAACTGCAAAGAGTGAAACAGAAATAGACACAATTTTCGCTGTGGGATGCTTTGTCATCCCGTGGCCCGCTCATTTCCCTATTCGAGTCTCAAAAGTGCTGCCATCTCTAAATAATTAAACACTACAAACAAACTGTTCTAAGAATAGCGAGGCCCATTTGACATAAATGCACACAAGGCAGATACGCCAATCTTATTATGCTGGGCTGTCATTTGTCGGCTTTGTAGTACGGTTCTTGTTTGGAAATTATGTTCCCAACCAGCTGACAACTCCTGTTCTCGGAGCCAGCGGATAGCAGACTTCCTCAACTGCTGGTGCATTATTCAAGCCGGTCTCCTGATAGTATATCAGTAAAGTGTTGTTTCAATTATTAATTCTTTAACATATGGTTACGATGTTGACTGGATTCAGACCTGGAGTCGTTGACACTGTGCAGCATTTGCTATTTTTAACTGGGTGTGTATACATAGTACATCTTTTGCGCCAGTTTCCATTAAGTTTAGTACAACCTCTTCCATATTTTACAGGAGATACACAGGTTTGCACTTAAACAGGAAAGTGCCAGATAGTAATCAAGCATAACAGGGGGAGGAAAAACAGAAAAGAAAATAATTTTAAAAAACGAGTTGTTTTGACAGTTTGATTTCTTGTTTTCACATTTAAGAAATAATGTTGCAGGAATTGGCATCGAGTTACACCATTATAAATCATTCATCACATAAATGTATGTTTAGGCTGAGGTCATGAGGGTTTATTTTCCCCTTTGTGCTCAGAGCAGGGGTCCAACTTAGTCCTTCTAAGTGGTTGGAAAAAGTTCAAGCTCCGGCATATCTTGTTTACATTGCATGAATAATTCAATTTATTTTGTGTTTCAGGGATCACTTCCCTCACAGAAGCAGCGATGACATTCTGCACTCCACATTTTCCACTGGTGAGTAAATCCGTCTCACTTTGACCTGTCCTTTATCTCTGCGCACACACAATGTCGGCTAATATTTATTTGCATGTGGGTTCCCCAGCAGAAGTGAGAATTTGAAGCCTGCACTGTAAGGACTAAAAGAATTAGAATTAGATATTAAGCCATTATTTCCAACATCCAGTATAAACGGGTCACAAAAGTAAAGTATCATTCCATCACAAAGGCTTGGCCCTGACATTAAAGAAATTTCCTCTGGTCGACTTCCGTGCGTTGTAAGAATCTGAAACATTAAGATAGTACTCAGCAATTTCCTTGATTTATTGTTCCATCAGTACTGTTAAGGTCACAGCCTGATTGAAGGGATACGGCATGGAAATAAGTGTGCTGTCCTCACTGACTGGCCTTGACCTTTTTTTTCCTGAGTAGCGTCTGTGTTATGCAGCACGCAGATGAAATGTACAAGGGCCTGAACGAAACATCGTTTGGAGTCATGAACAGGCTTTGAATTGAAAAACTGGTTTTGTTTTTTTTATGGAAACAAAAATCTAAACTTTTCAAACTTGTTTAAATGAAGTACTTTAAGATATTGTATTAGGTTTTCTTTCTTCCAAAGGGAATTACAATTTAGGACATTACAAAGGGACAACTGTGAAAAAGAACTTGAAGGACATAAGCTGCAGTGAATAATGTCCACTTGGAGTTGGAACTCAACGAGGAGTCATGTTTTCAAGGTGTTATTTTATTTTTCAGACAGAAAGGAGGGAGATTAGATGACATAGTTAGCACAAGCTGTTTTTTTGCCTAGACACCCTTTTACGTTTCTTCATCTAGGACATGCTTGCTTACAATCCACATTATCAGCTCAGATAAAAATTGATCAAAATAACTTTGAAATCAACAAATGTCTCGTAAATGCCCCCACGAATTCCTTCAATGGGAATACTGAGTTAATCCTGAATAAGATGAAGGGCAGTGAGTGAGCTTGTAGGGGCCACCCAGCTGTGCCCATTGGGCCTGAAACTTCCAGCTCTGGGACTGTCAGAAGAAGGTGCTCAAACACAAAGCAAATAAAATGCCCCTTTGTTGCACTGCTGTACTTCAAGCTCTCAAAGTCTCCTCCTCCTTCTGAACACACACTAAACCAGGCTCCGTCATTTGCCTCCTCTTTGACTTGCAAAATATCTTAAAACTCATTTGAAATAATCCACAGCTGTGTTTTGCATCCATGTGCAGAACTTTGAAATGCTGACATGTTAGTAGTTTAACCCAAACCTGGCTAAAAATATCTCCGTGGGCCTTTGAGGTCTATTCTTCAGTGGCTATTTTAAAATCAGTACGGGATATTTTACGCCCCGCTGTCTGCAAATTGTATCGACAAGCTGCAGTGTCCAAAGTCAATTTGGCCCGAGTTCAGCCGTGACAGTCTGGCATGAGGCTTCAGCAGAGGCCTGAGCAGATTCCAGGAGTCCATTAAAGTCCCAAATCCTTTTTAAAAACACTCATGTAGGAGGGGAGTTGTGATGAGCACAGTTGACATTTTGACCGCAGGCGTTCACCCTCGTGATGATTTGTTGCATCAAAGAATGGATCTTATGTTAAGTTAATGTTCAGGGGTTCAGTCTTTGACCTTTGGATCTTGTTGTGGATAAATCTCACTGATTTACATCGTATTAAATGGAGATGGAGATTAAATGTTATCTTTAAACTATATTCAACCATTTGTTTGTGCCTCTCTGAAACAATACCTGGGACATAAAGTTTGAAGATAAATGGACTCATGGTGAATTTGATTCTTCTTCTGGTAAAATGTATTTATCATAAAGTTAGTATGGTTGTTGTATTGATGCTGTATGTGTAGCAGGCCAGTGACTGATAAAGGGTTAATGCACAGAGACAAGAAGGCTGTTTCAAACACTTATTGATTATTTGAAATGACTTTTTGGACTTCACAGATAAAATAGTTGAAAGTGTGACATTTGCCACATCTTTCCTCCCATCATTCAGGATGCTTCCAGGAGTTTGGGTCCAGATGAAAAGCTCAACTGTAAATTTGCACGCGGGTCTGCTTGATGTTCACAAATTTTAAAAATACTCCCGACAGCAGAACGCAGAGAACTACAAATCTCAACTTGACAGCAACTGAAGTGTGTAGAGTTTTTTATTTTTTTTTATTTTGGTCCCATCAACAAAACTTCAAAGGGCTGTCAAGAAATTTTGCATGTACAATTTCTCAAAAACCTAGTTAAGGGTGGGGGGAACATTTTCTGTTTCCTCTGGGAGTGGCTCATTCCGACAGTTGGAATAATTGAAATGATGTCAAATCACTTCCCTCCGCTTTAAAGTCCTGAATAACTTTGCGGCGGATAACAACAGCCCACAAACAGGTGTCTGTCCTGAACTTTCTCAGACTAATCCTTCATGCTGGAATGGGGTCAGGGACGGGTCTCTGAGTGATTCGCATCCGCAGAGAATCTTAATACTTAATAAATCGTCCGCTGATTGTTCACACGGAAGTGCAGAAAAACATGCATATGAAACAGCTTCACCTTCTTTAATCCTACTAAACAATGTGAATATTTTCCTGTTAGCATGGGAAAGGAAGGATGTTTTATTGTAGACCACTTTCAGAGTTTAGATGCTGCTGATTCACAGTGTAATCCATGGAACTGCAGTAGATGGACAGTTTCCCAGACACCTTGAGTACATGTTTTTTTATTTCTGGCGCTCACAGCTGCAAAATACCAATGAAATGAATGTTTTCTGGATCTCAGCCGAACCCTGAACCTGAACAATCCTCACATTTAGCTGGAGTTACAGTGATTATTTAGTCGGTGCTCTCTGAGACAGAAATAGTTTGGATTCCTTCAGCCTTGCCTTTTTCGATATGCAGCTGTTGTCTCCTTCAAGTTTTATCTTGAAAACAGCGCACGCGACCGCAAAGTCGAGGGGGAGAACACACTGTCGACCGCATCCCGTTTTGCTTTTTCCACATGATATTGTTACAGTTGCTTGCCAACATCGCAGATCAGCGGCATCAAATTGTGAATCGCCACATGGACTTAGCGGCTTAAAAATGCAATAGTGTTGTAGAGGGGATCTGGAGTCTGCAGTCTGACCTCTGTGTAATTGCATGCCAGCACAAAGGATTTAGCCACTAATGCTTTGAGAGAGCACAGGGGGAAAAAAGAGGGTATGCTGACACATCACAGATGGTCCTCAACCACTCACTCTCTTCCTCGTCCTGTTAGTCAGCTGTTGTCTGTCTCAGGCCTTGTAAATCACACCCGCCCCACTAACTTGACTAAGCTCCACACCAGCCCCCATCCCAGCACCTGTTTTTACACACGTGTTTGTGTTGATCTAGTGGCTGAGATCGCCTATTATCCGCAAAATATTTGCAGCATAATTCACGGGCATTACATCATGACTCGACTGGATTTAATAGGTTAATAAGCGTGTGCGTGTCCCAGCTTCTAAACCAGCAGGAGGTCATGCAGGGTCCTTATTGTTTCATTAGCTCAAAGCTAACAGAGCCTGCATATGAATCTGAATTCTTTGGTTGGATCAGACAGTCAGAGTGGTACACAGGGGGCCTTAGGGCGCACTGCCAGACTGGCTGCTTTGATACTTCCTCTCCCCGCACCAGGCAAAGGGCCTCACCGTGACCCTGTTAGATAACATGTCTTTGCTGGAGAGGCACAGAGGGAGAAAAAAAATAAAAATATTGTAGCTGTGTTTAAATTAAAACCCATGACAGATGTTACCTAGCTTTATCTTTTTGAACATCTGGTTGTGATGAGCATGAGTTTACAAATTAGTGAAACAAAATGCTCACATGGTATCGTTCCTTCCTTTCTAGGTGAACGAGGGGGGAACTCTCCAGATCTAGCAGACCTCCTCTCTGGTCAGCTCATCCAAAGGTAAAACTTTAAGTGCATCAGCACAATTCCTCAGTCGATGTGGCATCAGTGCAAGTTAAACAGTGACGCTTGTGTTTTTGCTCCGTGACAGAAGAGGAGCCTTCCGCTACACTCCCGGGATCTTGGAAAGGAACATTGACCTGGACAGCGAACACGAGGACAACGTCGACGGCAGCCCTGCGAGTCCCGTGCCCCCGTACTTAGCAAAGACCAGCAGTTCTGAGTGGAACAGCTCCGATGACCTCGCTGGACCCTTCTCTGAACAAGAGGAGACGGGCACTGTCCCCGACCCTTTCATGCACAACCACCCCCCTCCCCTGCCCCTCAAGACCTTTGGCAACAGTCACACTGACCCATCTGCCGTCCACTCGCAACCACCGGAGGTGCCAGCGTGGTCGAGCGCCCGCAACGAATCCAAAAATGGCTCATCCCTTCTCTCGCACGCCATCCTCCGTCGGTGGATCGAGACACCTCCAGAGCACAGGCTTTCATCCAGCGCCAGCTCCAAGTCGGGGTCGTCAGACCAGGACCGGAACGATCTGTCGGCCAGCGAGAGCGAGGAGAGGCTACCCGGTCCGAAGCCCAGACACACTGACGGTACACGCTCCCCCTCTCTGTCAGAAAGGGTTCTTCCAACCACTTACTTTTCTGTTGACAACTGTATGACAGACACTTACCGGGCCAAATACCACAAGAAGCCTGCAGCCTCCATGAAAGCAGAGGAGCATGCTTCATCGGGGGAGAGTGATGCCGAAGGGAGGGGGCTGACTTTGCCAGAAGTTCAACCACCAGAGCCGTCCAAAATCCGATCAGAATCAGGTACCCTGCAGCCCAGTGTTAATACTGCACCTCTAGCTCTTTTGTTCATATTCGCATTGTTTGATTCTTGTGGATTTTGTCTTGCAGGCTACTCTACCACTAAGACGACTGCAAAGTGGAATCCAGTTACTCCAAAAGGACTTGACGAGCATGGTTTCCTATGATTATAGCAAAAGCATCAATAGACGTTGACCGGACGCCACAAGGAGTCGTGACGCATTACGACGGCCGCACAGTTTGACTCCTTCCAACTGGAATGTGTCTCGCTCCTAACTGGGAGTTGGACATGAAGTGGGTGCCAAAGAGATTGTAAGAAGAACGACCGGTGTCCTTCATAGCCTCGTGGCTGTTTTTTTCGGTATGAAAAGCTTTGAATGAAAAGAGAATTTGCACAGTAGACGGCACCATAGGTACAGAAACATGTACAGAAACATGCCTCACGCAGATTGCTGTCCGTGTTTCGGGCTGTGTGCTCCGTGGCAAATAGTTGTGTACGAAAAGAATGTATCACAAAACGTCACTTTACCACACAACAGATGACAAGAATTATTTTACATGAAGAATTAACCGATGTCTTGCAGTTTTCACTTCCTCCTTTTGCTATGGATTGATTTTTATTTGTTTAGCTTCTCCCATTTCAGTGTTATAACGTGCCTGCGCCATTTCTGTCTTTTTTTTTTATTGGGCTTTGAAGAAGACAAGGTTCCACTAATAGTATAATATATTTCCGGTGCATTTAATTTTTAAATTGTTGATTTCGGAAAGTAATCCTAAACACTGGGCACTCTTTTGGCACAACTTAAAAATGGATCCCAGGGATCCGTGAGAATATGAAGCTCAGGGACACCCACATTGGTTTTTGTCCGTTAATACTTCTTCTCTGGCGACAAAGGTCGAAACTTGTTGGCACATGGTTTTAAATGACCTCTGCAAATAACAAGCAAAGAATTTTCTTGCCTCACACTTTTGTCAAACTGGAACTGAAGTCTAAAACAACCAGTGTGGGTTTCCCGGGGTTATCACGTGATCAGTAAATATATTAAATTGATTGCTTATCGGGTAGAAAACTACGCGGCATGAGACGTGTCCCTTTCTCCTCAAATGCACACCTGCACACACTCCATCACCTGCACATAAGCTGTGTTTTTATGTCTTTACACTGTATTTCTGGTTATTTCTCCTCTCACACTCCTGACAGTTACAACCTTCCATTGTTATCTTTGTGGAAATCAACACTTCCTGTCTTGCTTCTTAAAGTATCTTCTATTAGCAGCAAGTCTGCCCTGCGACGACATGGACATTTATAAGCTTCATTTAGAAATAGACAGGGCCGGCTGTTTTTTTGAGGGTCATTATTATTAACATTGTTCTAAACCTGAGGAGTTGGACTATTCCTTGGTTTAAAATGTTTTCTATATGCAGCAGACTCGAATGCACAGTGCCTTTTGTATTTTTCTATGTCAAGACCAGATTGAATTGGAGCCATGGTTTGTACGATTATTTGACTTAAAAAGAATTTTTGTAACGTTTTATTTTATTTTTTATCGATTAACAGTTAAATAAACAATTTTATTTAACCATATCTGTGTCTCCAGCCATGTTGTATTTCAAGAGAAGTGTGAAAACTGATCAATATGATAACTTTAACAATATCTTCTTAGAGCTCTGAGAAAACACAATTACAGGAAATGTCAGGAAAATTGTGTTTTGCTGCCCTCTGCTGTCATAAATCTGAAATGCATCGTCTACTATAAAATGTCAGAAGAAAAATCCACAGGCTGTAAATTAAGCACTGCTCTTATCCAGAAATAATATTTAGATAATGATTAGAACACACCAGACTTTTACTGAAATGTGCTTTAAAAATGTCACTTGTCTATAGACATATTTCCCAGCAGCCATTATGACATGAAATATAAGGTCAACAGAGATTTTACTAATCACATGAATTAAGGTTGTGCTCTATGTAGTCCGAGCTTTAAGTGCAAAGGGTCTATTGTGCGTTAAGCCTATTCCCCTAATCACGAGTCTAATGGTGTTTTCACAGTGAATAATGATGAAGTGTGTTTAAGTTTAAAAACAAGCACAGCAGCTTGTTTAACCAGAGATCACCTGACTGTAAGAAAGAGAAATGATCTAAATACAAATCTCTACAATCTCACAGGACTTCACAACAAATAATAAGACATCAGTTATCAAAAATGTGTGACTGTTGACTTTCTGACACACATATAAAACCCAGCCATGCATTAGGAGAGCTAAGTTATATTTATTCTTTATTTATTTCATATGATCAGACGACACTGACACTTATGAACTCCTTCCAGGCAGAAGCTGCAGACGAGCAGTTGCATGACTCGACAGTTTAAATCCAACTGATGTTTTTTCTGTCTTTGAAGAACTTGATTGAACTAAGCAGGATTTAGAAAATGATGAAATAAATATTATTTCTAACAGCAGACTTGTTGTCATGTCACAGTTGGACAAGCACAAATGGAAATAATAAAATTCATTACTGGGACTCTTGAATAGAGCAGAGCCGTCATTAATGTTATCAGGAACGTAACTGCACTTGTTTATACTGTGACGAGTCAAAATGTCTGTTCTGAATAAACCTTGTTTTAATCTTTATTTCCAACCTCCAGAGGGAAGTAGAGGACTTTGCGAACAGTAACATTTACCACTGGATCTAAAAATCTGTTAGAATGTGCACTGTGCACATTTGGATTTAATTTCTATGTTCAGCATCTTTCTCAACATGGTTTAATTGCTGGTGTAAAAAAAAACTGTGTTTCTATTAAGATCTAATTTAGGTGTGAACATTTTTTTAGCATCATCTCCCTTTGGTTCCACTTTTTAATTTTCTAGCACACTGACCTCGACCTCTTTTCATCTTTCAGAAGAGACAATGACGACGATTCACTGCAGGTGTTTTAGGATTTTACTGACTCATCACCAGAGCTGGAGAATATCCCAAAACCTGGAGAATACAATGCAACTGAATGCATGTTCCAAAATGGCAACAGCACAATAACAACAATAGTAATAATGGTTATTAGAAAAAGAGATAATAAGTCCCACCCTCATAATCAATTTGAGAAGAAGCCAACTCATAAATACATTCAAAAAGATGTCTCCCAGAACTTGACATGTTCCGGACCAGAAAAGAATTCTTCCGATGTTCTCTGGGAGATGAGAAGTAGAAATGCATGGTATTCACTGGATTCACACAATCCTGACAATGTTCTGCCATTCAACGCTCTGCTCCTCACTGCATGGCACGTCCATCACAGTTTTAGTGAGCTTAAATCTTTGCTGTCTTCATGTGTGTGTGTGTGTGTGTGTGTGTGTCTCCTCCACCATCCTTCAGACTGGGACTCGGCCTGTCAGCGAGGGCTCCTCCTCTGCAGCTGCCGTACTTCATTAGGGGCCATCAGCTGAGCTCAGTGCTCCACTGTCAGAGTCAAACTTCTGTTTCCTTCTGTTTTCCTTCTTCTCCTTCCTCCTCCCTTTGCTCTCTCTCTATCTCTCTCTTCCTCCCCCTCTCTCTCTAACTGTCCCTCAAGCTCCCTCACATCCTTCATCCTCATATGATTTCTCACTCTGTCAACTCACTTCAGTCTTTTCCTTCTCCTGCTAAAATCCCCCCCCCCCCCGTCCTCGCTCTGCACCGTCTCCTCTCCTCATGCACCTTCTTTTTTTTAAGTGGAGCTCCTATTTCTTTCTCTTCAGGGATTTTTCTTCTATTATT